AGAGAGAGAGAGAGAGAGATAGGGTAAAGGGGGAAGGAACTGATCGACTCACCTCATGGCTCGTATCCGTGTCTGGCTCCTGAAACAGGCACACGTCCGGGCTATGCATGGAACATGGATGACCACGATACGATCTCATTTTCTCCCTCTCAGGGAGCAGCAGCAGCAGCAGCAACGAGCAAGTGCAAAAATAAAATAAAAAGGAAAGAAGTTACGGAGTACAAGGAAAGAAAACTCTGCTTCACAGAGCCTGAGTCTGGTGAGAACCTGCGCTGCTCGATTTTAGAGTGTCAACTTCTTCGCTGTCGATCGCTGCGAGCCGAGCCTTCATCCTGTCGTCACCCTTGCCCATGCTTGCAGCTGGCCATGCTGAACCTGCAGACCAAGGGATGAACGCATGGCAGGCGTGAGAAGGCGACCTGCGTCCGGCATGCCTTTCAAATCAGAGGGTTGCCGAGCGGCTCGGCCTGGGGAATAGTGATGGGGTGTGGGAGATATCCCTTTCGTGCCGAGAGAGCTGCCTCCTTTCGCCTCCGTGGGAGCTGTACCTCCGATCTTATGCATCCTCACACAATACTCTGTATTATTGTCAAACGCACTTGAGTGTATCTCTCACTCTCGATCTTCATGGCGACTTAATCTCGCCGAAACAATTTGTAACCCAACTTCCCCCCAAGCCACTATCGGCCCGCACTGCGTTCAGCCTCGTGATATCCGAAACGAACGCTGCACGACCCATCACAGCGAAAGGGGGGAAAGGAGGAGGAAAAATGAGGACGTCGAAACATCGGCAGCTGCTTGGCTTCCTTGGATACATACATCTAGTTAATGCTGATGAGATGGAATTGATTTTGCATCTAATTTTGGCGAGCATGCAGCGAGACCGCCTGGGCGATCTGATAGGCAAGAGATGCTGCACGGACGGCGGTGGGAGAAGTATATCTACGATGCACATCAGCCCACGAACAAGTCATGCCTTATCTTTTCCCTTCAGGAGTGCCCATTCATGTTACATTCCAAGGTCAAAGTTACTCTTGACTCTCTGTCTGGCTGTATGTATGCGTTGGTGCACGCTAGTCCAGCGTGGCTTTCGGTTTAAGTTGCAGTAGCAAGCAAGAGGAACAGCTGGCCAGCATGAATGGCTCTCAACAAGCCTCGATCTGCACGAACTGATTCGACAGCAGTTCCCGTATACGAGCGATGGCTGAGATATGAAAATAGACACACGGGATATGAATAGAAACACGCTGCTGCAGGTGTGCGGAATCAATGCGGCCTAGCAGCCTGCGGTGTAGCATCCAGCGTAGTAATTATGGTCGCTCCCTATCAGATGGCGATGTCGCCCGTAGTGCAAAGTTGAAGATCAGTCATCTGCTGCTGCCACCGCTCGTTGATCGTGATAGACCTGTTGATATCGGTGTAGCGTATGCTGGTCGCTCAACCTTTCGTTGTCGGCTGTTGTTGACCTTTGAAGGTCGATGGTCGATGTTGATATTGATGTCGATGTTGATGTCGATGTTGATGTCGATGTTGATGTTGACGTCGTACGGAAATAATGTGCATTCAAGGCTTGGCGTCAGACTTTGTCAGCCAGAACGCCCAACTGGGAAATATCAACGTCGACAGCCAAACCTCAGCAGCGCCAGCAACGAGCAGCTAGAAGGAGAGCAGAAAGCGAGTCCGGAGAGATACTAGACACGCACGCGGATACGAAGCGATACCCTCTTAGATACCGCAGCACCGCTCTGCGACCTTCCAATGGCCACCATGGCGCGAGAGACACCGCAGCCACAGCCTGAACAACCGCGATCCTCAGCCTCGACCTCAGCATCCACGGCTTCACCATCTACACAGTCTGCATTCTCACTGCCTACGTCTACAAAGCTGCTTATAGGCGGCTCAGCCTTCTTTGTTCTCTCGACCTTTATCACTCGCCGCTCGCTCAACCGCCGCCGTCTGGCTGCTATCCCTCAGTTCTACACTACCGCCTCCCACCACAAACCCAACGTCAGCGCACCGCTTGAGGCCCTGGAGGCTCTCAACCTCGCTACTCTCAATGTCTTGGCCCTGGCCATTCTCGGCGTCGGAGCAGGGATGAAAGCCGTTGGATTCGAGACCCTCGACGAGCTACGGAGGATAGTTCGTGGTGGATTGGGAGCTGATGGCACGGGGAGGACGGAACAGCAGGTGGAGGAAGACATGGAGGAATGGGTTGTCTCCGTGCTGAATCGGAAGGCCAGCAAGGAGAACGCAAATGCGAAGGAGGCCGAGAAGCAACGGGCACAGGATGAAATCCGAAAAACCTGGTTGAATGAGCGGGGGAAAGAGAGGTGATGATACCCTAATAATCCTAGAATGTTTCTGCATGTAAGACTAGAAAAGAATTTGTATACTACTAACTCCTGGCATCTTCTATGGATCCCTCCACTGAATACAACCCTATTTAACGGTTTGTTCGTTATCATAATCTTATATATATTAACTCGCGAGCATCCGCTTGCTCTGCTGTATTAAAAAGTCAAGATAAAACGGGCGCTAAAAATTCCAAATCACATCTACCAAGGTACACCCCTTTTAGCCGGGTCTACCGTTATGGTTTTTCTACCAAGTAGTATAGTTTGAGATAATGTACCTGGATGGACATGGCTAGCCCTGTTCGTCCTTCATCCTCTCGTACCTCTCGCGGGCATGTTCTCGAGTCTTCTCGAGAAACTCATCATATTTCCCACGCGTGCTTCGGCCAGCTTCCTGGACTGCATCTCCAACCTTTGAACCCTGGGCACCCAAACCCACGCCCTGCACATACAAGTCTGCTGCTACCGGCTGTTTCATGCCGGTCCCTTCCGCCCCGAGACCAGAGCCAGCCGACCAGCCCATCTTCCCTAGCAAGGCAGCACCCTTGGACAGCGCTGGTGGAGGGCTGGCAGCAGTATCAGAGCCAACGGGGTTACTGCCAGGCCCTTGCTCGTACTCATCCTGGCGGTCATCTTCAGCCTCTCTCTTCCTACTCTTCGACGAACCAAACACCTTCCGCCGCTCCTTGGCGCGATCGCGATACTCTGTCTGGTCCGCTGCGAGCGTTCGCTTCTTTGCCAGCTTAGCGAGTGCCTTGGCCTTCAGTGTCTCATCTTGCAGGTTCTCGCGGTGCAGCTGGCTCAGACGTTCGTGCTGGCGAACGTGGGCCTCTGATTTGAACTCTCTCATGCATAGATAACAACACAGTCGGTTAAGGTCGGCGTAGGACTGCTGTCCTTGTAAATGTGGCTGCTCTGGCTGCTCTGGCTGCTGATGCTGCTGATGCTGCTGCTGGACCGGTTGGAGATGTGGTGTTGATGCCTGCGACTGGGATTGTGATCGGGCAGCGGCCGTGCCGGGGTCGTTGAAGTGATCCCCATCGCCCGTCTCGGCGCTGCGCCTATCGATGCCATGCAACTCCGCATGGCGATTGCTCCAGAATTGGAGATGCGAAGCCATGGCGATCTTCTTCGTTGCAGAGCCAGCAGCAGCCCCTGCTGTCGCCTCCACTTTCTTCCTCTTCTTCTCTTTCTCCCCATCCCGACCAGGGTGCGCCGCCCTGGCAGCACTCGTCTTCTGTGCGGAGGCGGAGGCCATTCCCCCTGCCTTTCCACTGAGCTCACTCGTGGCAGCAGCCGTGGCAAGTTTGAGTTCGCTGGCATATGCCTCCTCATCCCAGTAAGCCAGCTTCGCAGCCAAATTGCCAAGGGGGCTAAAGGTGAATCGCTCAAGCTCACTGTTCGTACCTGTAGTGCTGCTATGAACACCTGGGTTGAGATTAAGAACCGGTACAAACACGCCAGCGTGGATGTACGAGGCGAGCACTGGCTTCGAGGAGATGGTAAAGGTGTCGAGGGATGTGTAGCGAGTAAGAGCGCACTGAGCGTCCTCCACAGTCGCAAACTCCGCAAATCCATAACCCCAGCTTTCGTTCGTTCGGCGATCTCGTACCAACAGAACACGACGAATTGACCCATCTCGAGCCCCGAGGTTGCTATCGCCGGTTGTAGACGCGACCTTGGCGACTTTCTTTGCCGGTGCTCCACCGACCCCGGATGAACCAGATGAGGCCGAAGCCGCAGCGGACTTGGACTGTTTGCAAAGCTTCGCAACGCCCTTGGCCAGCACTTCCTCGGTAACGCTTGATTCGAGGCCTCGGAAGAGGAGAAACTGCGAGGGAGTGCCGTCGGTTGAAACATCGTTGTCCCCGTAGTTAGCTACCTTGACAGTCTCCTCCACGGGCGGTACGGCAATATCTACCAATGTTAGACTCTATATAGGTCCCGATATGCACGTGTACATATCATTTCTTGTATATAATTTTGCTTCTTTTTTTCGGCCATACCTGGTTTGGATGCCTGGCAGCGGAAGCACCGTTGTCGACCAGGATAGTTGACAATTGAGCACTATTTTACATGTCAGCCCACGAGCATAAAAACGAGGGTACCTGAATGGAACTCACATTAATACAGGTCCATTCCCCGTCGGCTCGAGCCCTGTTACGGTCCTCTCGTTCACGGCTGTAGGCAATCCTGACCCTTGCGCCCTGGCCATCGCCCCCGGCTTTGCCATACAGGTGTACAGCTGGGAAGTTCAATTCCAGGAATTTACGCGAGTCATCAATGGAAGGAAAGCGGATAAATGCAAGTTGCCGTGATATTTCTAAGTCTGTTAGATGTTTGCAGAATACGTATATTTGAAGTTGTTATGGAGTACTGTACTCACTTGTTTGTTTGTCGCGAATAACTCGGACGTCCTCGAGGCCCCGAACATGATAGTACTGGGCAAGTTCACTGGAAACCTATATAGAGGGACAAATCGATTTCATCTCAGCATGCAGCCAGACGACAGGAAAACGGGGAGGGCTGTTCGAACGTCTTCTTCGACCATGTCAACTGGCAGGCCCTCCATCATGACCTCCCTGCTCTCCGTCCCGTAGTGCCGCAATGGTCGTGTGTGGCGTCCACTACGGCTCCGACTGGCACTCCTACTTCTGCTGCGACTATAACTTCGACTACGCGCTCGACTCCGAGGTCGACTTCGAACTCGACTGCGTGATCGGCTGTGGGAGTGACTGCGGCTGCGGCTGTGACTATAGTTCGCATCATAGTCGTATCTGGGAGGGGATCGGTAGCTTTCACGGTCTCTGTCTCTGTCTCTGTAGCCACCTTCCCAGCCCCGGTAGCGCCCCCGGTGCGGCGGCGGCGATCGAGATGACTGTCTGTAGGGTTCCCAATCCCTACTACCACGATATTCGTCTGCGCTGTCTTCTCGCCTCCTGTCAGCCGTCCAGGCATCTTGGGCGTCACGGTCACGGTCGCGGTAATACATGTCTGGGTCCTATCAGCACAGGCTCGGAGCCGCAATACAACAATACAAAGAAAAGGGAGAGTCAAGCAGAAGTAAAAGCGAGGACTCCGTAAGGGAAAGGGCCAGAACGCGGAGAGTGAGGCAGCTCCGTACCGCCAGGGGAATCGTATCTCTGTCTCGAGTCTGGGGGCGACGGTCTGCTGTAACGAAGGCCGCCGTGGTCGGGGTATCTGCCTTCCTGGCCCCGGTAGGCCATGACTTAGCTGCACCCTCAGTATTTGACGCGATATCCGCTGTATCTGAGGCCGTCTAACGCCGTCTGAAGCTGTCCAAGGCTGAGACCGAAGCTGTCGAGCTTTGCAGATTAGGTAGAAAAAGCTCTTCTTTCGCTGCAGATTCAGGTGGATCTTTGGATGGTGGATGGTGGATGGATGGACATGGATGCCGGGCCGGCGATCTGATAAGCGGATATAAGTTATCCCGTAAGTGATTATGTCATACGGATTATGTAATATATATAACTTATGTAATCAGCTGACACCGGATGGGAAGGGAAGGGAGATCCCGCACGACGCACAGGTAACTACATCCATGCAGGTAGGCCGCGAGTGACAAGTCATCCATGGGGTGGGTGGGATTTCACTCGGCGGCAGCGGTCAGATTTATCTTTGTGCGGTGCACCCAGGAGGGAACTGCCTCGACTCGGTTCACTGACTAGTACGGAGTAACCGGTGACATAACTACTACCTAGTTCAACCTGTGTGATCACCCAGAAGGAATAACTTAACTAGTTGGGCAAGCCATGGAGCGACAGACGCTTACTATCGAGGAGATGCAAAAGGGTAACTAGCATCCGTTACCCCTCCCTCCCTCCAGCTGCTTGATAACAGACCCTGACCCCGAGAATTAGGACTCGTTGAACTCGACCGTGCCATGGGCGAAAACGAGATGATCTATGCCTTCTCCCCTATCACCGTGATCTCGCCTGGCGGTTTCCTTGCAGTCTCGTACTTGAAAAGCCGTGAAACGACAGAGGATATTGATATTATTATCGATCCCCAATGGACAGGAGACAAGGACATTATACCAGCACTCAGAGAACTATTCTCATCAGTTGGAAAGAAACTTGGCTTAAATCGCAAATGGCTAAATGATGATGTCTCCTTATTCCTTACCCAGAAAGCTCGCGAACAGATCTTCAATGCTGCGGGTAACCAAAATATTATACTCTACGAGGGACCAAATCTTAGAGTACTGGGTGCACCCTTAGAATGGGGTCTTGAGTCGAAACTACGGCGGATAAATAGCAAACCTGACCATCCCAAGGTGCCAACAGATATACAGGATATCCTTATTATTCTGAAACTACTGATAGAACGCAATAATGGGCCGCTAAATAGACGGCAGGTACGCGAGAGAAACACAAATGGATTTGATATACTTCCTAGTGAAGAGACTCTAGATCTTGTTGCTAATGCATACCAAAATAAATACGGGGAATACCCTTTTTGCTAGTCACGGAACTACCTAGTTAGTTAATGAGACAAGTATTTGATAGGGTCTTACGCTAGATAGAGTGGCATTTGAATCGAATTATTACCTGAATATAGTTGCTATAAGAGGAAAGTTTTTGTCCATTGACTCTCACAAGTAGTTGCTACGATAAGTCGTGGCTTTAAAATGATTATTCCCTGCTGTTGCTTCACTGGATCAATGGAGACTATGATCGAGCCATCTCATTATTCCGTATGCGTTCCTTCAGTAGCTAATTTCTCATAGAGCTTATGGAATGCCGAATCAGGTATTGCGAGGAGTTCTCTGGGATTTCCTGTCTCGATAATCTCACCTTTGTCTAATAACACAACACGATCATAGTCAAGTACTGTGTCGAGTTTGTGAGCGATAGCAATAACGGTCATGCCCTTGAACTTCTCACGAATCACATCCTCCATTACCTTATCAGTCTCAGCATCTACACTGCTGGTGGCTTCGTCCATGATCAGAATATT